TGCCCGTTGTGGTCGTGGTTGACCATATGGAAGTCAGAAACCTCTTGCCTCGTAAATACTTGGTCTTATGCGGTGGGCAGCTTACAACACACAGCACGCCCGGATTTCGATTAAATACTTCAACCTGTAAAGTTATATTTCACTCAGGGCTAGCTCGGCTACAGTGCTCCCTTTGTTTTCATTAGAAAGCCTTCTTACCACAAACCTCTAACACATGAACTTTCGGCGTCTTGCGCACTTGATTTCCTTATAAATCTGCATGTATCCAAAGTCAAACAGTAGAAACGTTCGGCGATCGGTTCTGACTTCAGGGCGGGATCCGACCTATTCATTTTCCTTAGATCTCCAGTCAAGAGCTCTTGCGTACGATAGCGTGACGACGAGCAATAAATAATCGGTAACCTTGTTGATGGAGGCAAGGGAGAGTTGCTTCATTTGACGTCGTCAGCTAGCTCTATCGCATTACTCGTTTATCGTTGCAAGAGCTACTCAACTTTACTAAAAGGGGGGGTTGTTTTTGCTCGCTGCTTGAACCTTCCCTCTAGACCTGTCCGCACCTCTGCAGTTGGGCGACAGAGAATCGCAAGTTGACCTTTGTTTTTTCCTAGCTTTCTTCCCGGTTTTACGCCGGGACACTCATCACTGTGTGGAGCTTGAATTGTCACTTTCCTCAGCCATTTGCATTTTAGCTCCATTAAATCCTATCAAAAACCCAACCATGCCTAGAATAAGTTCGACTTGATTTCGGGCCGACGTTCAACAGAGGGCCTCTTGGCCTTTCGCATGTATTTGCGCATTAAATCAGCTTTTGTTAAGTGAAGTAAGGAATTGACGTTGTTAACCTGCCCTCGGAAGAACGCAGCTCGCAGGTTCTCAGAGCATGCTTAGTCAACAGTTCTTGCAATTTCCACGGTTACCTGCTGGCTACGGTGACGATTCGAAGACTATCTGAAGTCCTCCTAAACTATTATTGTGGATGATGGCGGCACTGTCTAATCTCGCACTATCTCAGACCCGCTGGTTCTTGTTTTATTTATCAGTATAGACGATCCGGTACTTTTTACCCTTGACTTGCGGTGAACACCATGACGCCAATCTAGTGGTAGGTAAGCAGAGGCTGATAGAGCTTCACCCGCCAGACACTGCTTTTTTCCAAAAACTATCATAGGCATGGAGTTGAGGGATTATGTCCCTTACTACAACAAGCAAACAACAAGAACATACATTCTGAAGCCTGTAGTGTAGCTCTAGACGTATACCCACTTTAGCTCATATTTATTCCTCCGCACTAGCTATCTCTCACCATTCACTTGTCAGTACGAACTAAGTCTTTTCCGTTCGACAGGCTTTTTATTTCTTTTACGACTGACTTCCATTTTCTGACATACCTTGCATTGTGTGGTCCGTGCACACTTGCTGTACAGGCAGAGCTTTAAAACCTATCCAGGTCTGATGGGAGGACGTGATAGCTGACCGTGTTGTTAGTTGCTCATTTGACTAATTTGCACCTTCTAGAATGCACATGAATTCGCGCGCCTTAAAAATAAACATTTTATTTCAATACACTGTTTGCCGAAGAAAGGCGCAACGCAAAGACCTATTTCGACACCGTTTGATAGGGTTCATCAAGGAAAAACCGACAAGGCGGGACTTGAGTGAGGACATCCTGGCGAACAAGGCGCACTCCTCCTATTACGCCGCGAAATCCAGCGAAAATGGTAGTTTGTACATATCGCGGAAGTCGTAAGTCGCGGTTAACTATCCCATTTTCTGTGCATCCGTAATAGATCTGTATTCGACAACGCGGGTCTACAGAGCTCCAACTTGTCGAGCAAGTGGATCGTGGACGATATTTAGTGACCCGAGACATACGCAGCATACCAGACTAGAATCAGTCATTGTCTGAAGCCGATGGACCGATAGTGGATGACCACAGCTTTAGATATCGGGCCGATCAGTCATAGACTTCACTTGGTGACCAAATCAGCTGTCGTGGTTCGGGCACACCGACTGGTAGAATAGCGTGAGACAGCCTTATTAAATGGATATTCAAAGCACCGTCACTTGGTCCTGGCCGCAAAAATGCAGCTTTTAGTAAGACGCGTGGTCTGACAGAGTCCATTATTAGAAGGCAGTCTGCTCCCGAGTACAAAACCGTAACTTTTGGCAGGTTTGTGAAGGGTAACTGGTCAACGCAATGTCATAACGATTAGGTACACCGTGATTCAAGTAGATGGGAGGCCGGCTCATCACCAGAATTTTGACGGCAAACAGTATAGGAAGGTATTAGAGAAAAGGTTCTCGTCACTGACCAAAAGTATTCCGTAGTGCATTCCCCTCAGGAAGGCACTGTCGCACCTCGCTGGGCGCTCCCTACTCAAACAGGAGCTGCCCTCCAGTTGTCTTATTCGTCCAGTCGCTTTCCCGTCCTAGGCCCGTTGCCCACACGTGAGTTTGTCCGGTCACAGGGTTCTGAAATTAATTGCTCCCTGCTTTACCAAGAGGTGGACGAAATGGTCCACTTATCCAACCAGGGCAAACAAGCTCCAAACAGCTTGGCAATAATCACTAAGATGTGACAACCTACCAGTTCGCCAAGCATAAAATAGCAGTGGCAACCTGATAAAAGCGAAGGGGGCATTGAGACAGTAGTTGTTTTGGACTTAGCTATACTCTGTTTGGCTGGCTGTACTCCTAAGTTACACGCGATACCTTAAACACGCGCACTCACTCTAGTTTATTCGATTTGTCAGCAGTACTAGCGAATCGAAGTTCGTTAATGTCACGCCACCTGTCAGTCTCTATCCAGGCAAATCAAGTATTTGTTCATGCAATAATAAGTGACCGACGATCTGTTTGACCAGTCAAACTTCACCACGCTTGTGTCATCTGACCACACCACGTGCCCTCGCCAGCCTCAAACCGGAGGACTCGGAAAGTATTTCATAAGGTGTCAGTCGTCAAGTGAAGGATTTACCTTGTTCATTGAATTCAGCCTCGCGCGCCTATTGACATTAATTTTCCAGATTTGCATCTACGGGGTTTTTACAGAATAAGCCGGACTGTCTAGCTGTAATTAAAAAACGCATTTGATTTGAAAATAAGTCCAGCTTTTTATGTCCCAAAGTACGTTCAAAACAAATAACAAAGCGCCTCTGTTACGTCCCTACATATACTAACTTTCACTTTGTCTCCAGAGAACCGTACCTCCATATTTCCGAAGCTATTTTATTTCTTTCCCTCAAACGCATTTAGATATCTTCACTGATCGGCATGCATCCATCTCCAAAAAAGGTCAGACTTAGCAACCAGCACGTTACGTGTCGTAACTCTGTCTCCAAAAAAACTAAACACTGTGCTTTTATGCATGTTTGGACCTTTGCACGGTTTATTGTGGTAAAAACTGTAGGCGATATTTTTTTCACTGGTTTCATGGTCGACTTTTTCCAAGTTTTCTTGTGACATAGACACTTTTTAGCATTTTAATTAAGCGATTGGAGCTGAGCTCGTTTTGAGAAAATACTGGCATGGTTATGATGCCTTCAAGTACGGAGTACGTCAGGTTACTAAACGTTGAGATGGAACGAAACTTTGCCATTCTGCCACACGTCGGCCTCAAAGATCCCTCTGGTTACTGACATCCCCGGGCAAAATTACTTCGTTCAGTATACTCTGCTGGCATTATTTCTGCATGTGCCTGTTTTTGCATTCTTCAATGACTGTTTGCTTAACTTCACTGCTAAATTAGTCATGCAGCGGATGTCGGACATCGTTTCTCCCAGATGTGCAAACTTGGGACTGATCATAGTTATGTAGACAACTGTCATCATACAGCAAGCCGCACCAGCTGTCGCCGCAAAACATTATCTTCTCGTGGACGAATCCGCTGACGTTGGAATCACAAAATCTGTTTACATCAAAGTCGACGACGAGATGAAGGCTGTTTGAATGACTAGCTAGATATCTGGCAAGCTAGCCCTCAGCATGGAACGTCCTGGCTATCCATATAAATGCCAGACTGAATATGCACAAGGCCATTGTGCCGACCACGCTGCTGTATAATGAATATCCTATTGTGTACTACCTTCTAGCGACGAAACTCGACCACCTTCACATTCGCTGCCTTCGAAGGATCCCCAGCACACAAATAGCAGAGTGGAACAGTGCTAGGTGTCTATGGAATGCTGACTCGGTGACCACTTTGAGAGGGTCTCTTATCGGCGTCTACCAAAGCTAGTGTTGTCCGAGCTGTTGCCACGGAGGCTCACAAAAAGCGACGTTAGGAAACCATAAAAATTCTCTTGCCTCAGCACCGACCAAGCATTCAGGAGGAACCATGTACGGGTTCGGTAGGTAAGGCGATATACTATTTAGACCGGTTCAGCACCCCTCAAAGTCCAACGTATACAGATCGTTAAGACAAAGCTCCAAAAAACGCAGACCCAGAATCCAGAGGAATAAATACCGATGAGCAACCTTTTTCCATGTACTCCCCTGTCAACGATTTTTTGAGGTTGAAATTGAGCTATATTCTTCCCGGTTAGCTTATTTGGCTACCTGACAGTTCGATCGTCGTTGCCGACGATGTCCACCGTGTGCTTCACACCAGGGTGAGAGCAGGGACGATGATTTGCGCGTGAGTTAGCTTATAGTGGTAGTGGACTTGCGCAACTTCTACCGCACTCTCCTCCTCCCCCACCGGAATCCAGTGTCAAGACAGAGTTGAAAGACCGCAGATGGGATTGGATGCAGGTGGCTGGCACGACGTAAATCCGCACCTAGGCGTATCAGCACACCCTCCCCCCTAATTCGCAACAGACCCTGATCAGGATTTTATACCACAGCACAAAAAAGGGGAGGCAGCACGGATCCCAATTGGCTCAGGGTGAATTGACAAGTGAGCGTGTCACCATGTTCCAAATGTTGGTATTTGTTATGGGTATGCGTTCCCGATAGCGCCTGCCGGACTCCCATCTGGCCCCTGTGTTGATCCAGCGCATCTACCGCGTGGTCCGCTTTAGGGGTCTAAACACTTGATGATGATAATAATAATAATAATAATAATAATAGTAATAATAATAATAATCGTCGTCGTCGTCGTCGTCTTCGTCATCATCATCAGCAACGGCAACAACAGCGACGGCATCATCATCATCATCATCATCATCATCATCATCATCATCATCATCATCATCATCATCATCATCATCATCATCATCAGCATCATCATCAGCATCAGCATCAGCATCAGCATCAGCATCAGCATCAGCATCAGCATCAGCATCAGCATCAGCATCAGCATCAGCATCAGCATCAGCATCAGCATCAGCATCAGCATCAGCATCAGCATCAGCATCATCATCATCATCATCATCATCATCATCATCATCATCATCATCATCATCATCATCATCACCACCACCACCATCACCATCACCACCACCACCACTACTACCACTGTTATAGTGGTCATAGTTCAGTAACATTCAGTGGAGACGACCATCGTCTGCAAAAGGCAATGAAAAATCCCACATTTTGCCGGTGTAGATTTTACAAAGGCGGACTTTACACCCTGATGTTGCTGTAATGTCCCCACTTACTTTGCTCCCTGGTGTGAACAGATTCCACTACAGCGTAATGTCCCACCTTCAGCTGTTCGGAGCTAGTGTGTCTGATTACGTGAAACTGCATCCAAAATCTCGGCGTTGGCTATAGTGTTCCGGGTTATGCCATGCCTTGTTGTAACATTAACGTTGCAGTTCACCTGTTCCTAATCAATCCACAAGACTGTAAATACGGGCTTATTTTTGCGGGCAGCCTTGCCCTACTTAACCTCAGTGGTGGATCTGACGGGCGCCTGATGCAGCCTAACTCACTGAGGTTAATTCCGGACGAAAAGGTTCGCGCAGCCAGACAATAATATAAGTACGAAGGATAGGGCTTTTTGCTTCGCCTCTTAGTTTTGCTGGACAGGTCTCTTCCGCACATCTACTCTCCGTATTTCGCTTCCCTAAACCCTCTCCACCAGTGCTCTTGTATTTTTCGGCATGATGAATGTGTGAGCCAGCGGAAACTTCAGCCTGGGGGCCCAGGGCTTTCAGATGACGACGGTGTTTCTTTTTGTGAGATCAGCTTGCATTAGAAAACTTCATACCCAAGTGTATATAATTTGTTTTTAGGCTACTGACATCGCCGTCTACTGATAAGTTTATTTATTAAGTGTCCGAAAAGTCAGTCATTCTCCAAAGTAAACTTCAGTAACTTGATAGTTGACAGTTCTCTCTTATTCCTTTACCACTACTAAAGGCAGCTTCCCAAATGTTGATGTACGCTTTTAAATCACCTACCTTCCTCCAACACGCGGTACAAACGGAATGACCTTTTTTACCTGGGTTGCGTTTTCTCAATACCTGTGTTTAATCTTGCTGATGCTCTGTTATAGGAGACCCCGTCCACACGATCTACAGCTTCGAACACCCCTTCTCCAGCCCCTGATTCAAAATCGGGTTGCATTGGTCGCTTTGTCGTTCTGAAGGCGGCCGTCTCTAACGTCAACGAATCTGCGACTCCTCTACCCGAGTCTAGACGACCCTGTCAAGAAGTGGAAAATCCACAGTGGTCCTTCACGCTGGATGATAACAACCCTACCGCGTCTTCCACTGACGGTCCTGCCCTTCCGGGCACGACCTATTGGACTGTTACTTCGGCTCATTCAGCTCGGAACAGCGGCCCCGTTGTGCTGACTGCGCCCGGGGCTCGGAATCCCAGAAAACCAAATGATGCACTCGGCTCGGACATTTCACGCGGGCGGAATTCCAATTCTGAGACACCTCAACTTGCGGTGTCGCGGGCCAGCACTCCCTCTACTCCAAACAGTGGCCCCAGCAGTCGGCCCGTCTCCCAGTCGGTGCACAATCGTTTCCGCAAGTTCTTGGTTGAAAGCTTCGGCGGTTCTAGAGTGCGGACGCATTCTGAGCAACAGACGTCTGGCGATGCGTATCGCAGCAGTGTTGGTGGGTCTGTCGGGCCTAACCCACTTTCCGCAGGACGCGAACCCGGTGGCCTACCTCCCCACGCTCACACCATCACAGCGGCGACCAGCCGGTCGATCATTAAAGGTTTACTAGAACCACTTTCCGTTCGTACTAAGGATGATGCTTTTACGGGAATTTCAACAGCCTCCTCACCACAATCCTACAATCTACAAAGCTATCCGTCTGTATCAGTCTCCTCGGTGAACGAATCATATTCAGGCTCGGGGAAGACGAAAAACACTGTGTCTAGAACGTTGGATGGCCACAAGCGAAAGTCGAAGCCAGGCCGCAGGATGGTTCACCGGCTCCTGTCACTCTCAAATCACGGGGGCCAAAAACCAACTGATCCCGACGTTATTGAGGGATTTTTACCGGACCCCTCCAAGTTGCCACGTGAAGCCCCTCAAAGCACTCTGGAATTTACTCAGTCTCGATTAAAGAACCTTCCGCGAAGGGTAGGTGACCGGCCGTCTTTCCTAACATTATACTGCCCTCCTTTATAGGTATTGCAATTTTCTACCGACTTGTGCGCGCATTTCCCAGGATTTTTCACTTTCTTGGCTTTTCAGACGGAATGGCTTTGACCTTTACGCCCTCATATTCTTCTTTTTTAATAGTCTTGTAAGTAGTAAGTGTTACTGCATGGCGCTGCTAGGAGTCGTAGCAGCATTCCTACTGTACAAGTGATTCTCATCCTAAGGCCCCACTAATCCGTATGCCCAACTACTGATAAAAACCGAGCTTCTAGTCGTCAAATGTTCCGGGATATTTGGTTTGCGTTTAACAGTTCACAACTTTGGAATCCGCAGCGAAGGACCAAGACCGTCCTGGGGAGGGGGGGGGGTAGGGGACAGTCGACGGCGCCAATTGTTGTCACTGATTGACGGAAAACCATACCTATGAGAGACTGGCGTTTAGGATGTCGAACGCTGGAGCTAAATGCCAGTGTAGGTTGTGGTAGGACTGGCTTTCCATAGTTCGTAGATTCGGAGGTCAATCTCGTCGTCATTCAACACTCTAGCACGCCGCTCTGTCTTGTCCATTTTTGCCGGAACGATGAGTGCGTTTTCAAAAAAGGCCCTTCTCAGCCAGCTCATTACTTAGAAGTGCCCTAAGCATAGGGTCACAATAATTTATCAACAGAAAGTTTTACCTCTTAGGTGGTCAACATGGTCCTGGACGTTCTTACTTCTATTCGATGATTTGTGCCTCTGTAGGCGATCACTTAAGGAGATGAAGCCGAATTCCCAACTTCAGAAGCACCGGTCTTCTCACATACTTGTAATGGTCTTTGTGTGTCAAAGTCAGAGGTGTGTCCAGTTTAACATTTGCGGTTTACGCAGTAGCCGTGGATCCTTATGACCTTAATATCAAAAAATCGCAAAGCCTAAATTTCTGCTTGTATTGCCTGAGCTTAAAATTGGAGTTCTCGAGTTTCTAAATGGCCTCTTGAATTACCTTGTCGCTGTGCAGATTAGTAATTTGCTGTGCCAACCTGAACGTTTTATACGTGCGTTGTTTCCTTTCTGATTCCAAAATTGAAAATATAGATCAAGCTCTCTTGGGCTCTGATAGAACCGGAAAAATGAAGAACTTCCACATTTGATGATAAGACCTAACAAATTCTGCAGAACAGATTTCTGAGTCGAAATTTGCTTATGAGTTTAGTGCCTGCCCTAGAATTCTTGCTTTATCACTTCCATCTTATAAAATACATCACAAATTAAGTTAATTCAAAAATATCCTTCATTTACTGAGAACGTTTTTTTCAGTTTTCGGTCCCATGCACGTACATGGGTTGCAGAGCTACATGTACCTAGATGTCCTTCGAGTTCCATACTCAACCTAAGATGCCTGCTTCTTGACTGTCAACTCTCGATTTTTACTTACAATCCTCGTTTGTCAAAGAACAGGCTTCGGTTTTCTATTTTGCACTGTAATGTCCATGATGATTGCCGACCATCTTTACTGCGCCATTATCCTTGGTGACAGCCTGTTGCCTGAATTGCCAGTTGTGTGGTAGAGGTTTTTTGATATTGAGTCTGTCGGAGAAAGCCTTTGTGAGGCCCACTCCTTGCTGTCAGATAAAAGTAATTTATGGGACTAGTCTCGACGGCAAGCTCCTGGTAGCTTCTAGTTTCGAGATTTCGTTCCGATCTTATTTCGGATTCACATTTTGCCTTCAGAATTGACGTAAATCCCCAGGTTGACGATCAGTTAAACAAGAATTTGTATTGCAGTGGCCCAATACAAATATCAACTTCCTAGCTCGTTATTAGGTTAGGACAGCAAAGTTCATACGCTTTGTGACATAAATCCACTCAAATGTTTTCCGCAACTCCCACGAAAGTCGGCTATCGTTCTGTTTTTCCTAGCAATTCATTAATTGAGTTGAATAAGGAATACGATGTTTTTATTTTAGTCTATACTCGTAGTCATTGTTTACGCAGACAAACGCGAGACTCGAAGCAAGACTTTGTTTTGAAGGCATCTTTTCCCTTCTCGGTTCATTTTCTGTTATTTGTGGTAAACGAGGTCTTCAGCCAGTGATAAAGTATGACTCCAGTAAATCTATTAAACTTTGCATTACCTTTCAAAGAATATGGGAGTTTATCAACCTTTCTGGTATAGCGTCTTTCCAGAAAAAAAGCACAGACGTTCTGCCGAGGGATTTCAACGGACATTGAAGGTCATTCCTTTGTAGTTAGTCTTTGGTCAATCACCGAGTTTGGTTGTTATTCGTCCGATTTGACAAAGCGTGGTTCATTTGACACACGTTGGTGAAATGGACTACAAATTTTTCGTTGTCACTCCTTGAGGCACCAATAAAGGACCTAGCAACACGGATATTTGAGCAAGTTATACTGTCGAGTCTTTGACTGTCAACTGAATTATGCCGTCTTCTGGGTTTTTTGACAAGCTCACCTTCGCACTTTAGCCCTCAGGCTTCCTTCAAAACTCTGCGCTTTCCATTCTATTTTTTTGTCTCGTGCAACTAGTGATTGGTGTAGTTAGGCGTTACTCAACAGCTCTCCATGACCCCTTAACTCTAACTCTTGACCGGACACTGTCCCCCTCTCTCACGTAGTCTCTCGGGGGAAAAGGAATCTATCGGTAAACGGAAATGGAAGTCGATCATCTTGAGATATCGCCGCGACGCCAACAAACACTGGCTGAACTTCCCATTCGTTCTAGAGGAATGCTGGGTTGTGAATTGGCCGAAAAATCTGGACTTCGGAAAATTTGCAGACCACAGGAAAACATCATCGTGCGCACACAAATCTCAGTCACCCTTTGGCATTGAACGTTTATAAGTGCCAAAGCTACAAAGTTCTGACCGGTTACAACGACACTGCAATGGGGTGCTGGTGGTCATTTATTGTCAAGGACGCGATTGACGGTTAACGACTGTGTACTGCTTTCAGAATATGTCCATCAGGCCTAAACAGAGG